TGTGCCAAAAAAACTATTTACCACTTTATTTACAAAATATTCATCTTCAACGCTCGTTCATGAGAGCACCACAACGCATGGGTGTTGCGAAAGCAGACATTGTTGTGTGAACGTGTGTTTAAAATAAAGTGGTAAATTATGTTTTTTGGGGGGGTTGTAGCAAACAACGTTTTCGTGTCACTTCATAAAATTGAGGTTAAACCACTGACTGGAGTCACATGGATTACTTTTAATGTATACCTTTCTGGGGCTTAAAAGTGGTAGTTGCGTAGCTGTCAATGGAGGGACAGAAAGCGCTCAGATTTCATTCAAAAAATCCTCTTAATTTGTGTTCCGAAGATTAACGAAAGTCTAACGGGTTTGGAACGACATGAGGGTGAGTAATTAATGACAGAATTTTCATTTTTGAGTGAACAAACCCTTTAAAAATACGTTTTCGTTAATTAAAATAAAACTGAAAGAAAATATAAATATTACATGAAAATTTTGAAATGTTGCCTTGGCAACTAACTGAAATAAAAAAATTGGACTAAAGTACGAAGTACTAAAATTACTACAAGATAGACATTTAAAGCCAAGTAGACGTTTATTAAAAATCTGAAACTAATTTTAAAAAATGACAAAAGCACAAAATTACTGAAACCTAAACTAAAAACAAAACAAGTATAAAAAATAAAAGCCATTTCAAAATATTAATAAATACTATTAAAAAAAAAATTTTATAACAACATTCTAAAATAAGACCAGAGCAGCTCACCACACACAAAACAGCATTGTACAGTCTCACAGCTACATATTAACATACATGTTAACGCTTGAAATCATTAGTTTGTGTAAACAGTACGACGCCCACAAGGCTGACTGAATAAAAGACAGATGGAAGCATTACACGACGAGAGACATTCATTTACCAATTAAGGCGTTTTTCATTGTGACGCAGACATGATGGAGTGCGAGAAAATTCCTACACTGATGTTCACAGACCACATCCTACTCATAATATTTGTACATAGACACCTTTCTTCCACTGACAACATTTTTCCATCGATTTTTCACCATGTGGGCGACTACATTTCCAAGCTGAAGAAACATTTTCAAGCATCCTAAATATTCAAACACCCAGACAACACAAATTAAAACGTGATTAAGATTGAGAAAAGATGACAATATATGCTACTTTTGCTATCACTGACAGAACATTGTAACTATGACACAAACGCGAACAACCAGCAAAAGATACACGTAAGTCGTGTCATTAAGCCGTTAAACCCCAAAAAAAACATGTTATATTTCAACTGGACCTGTACTACTAGATGTTTTGAGATAAACACACAAAGTAGTAAGGCAGAAACATACTTTACACAAGTCCACAAAAACGTAATGGTAATAACCGTCAGTACTCTTGCTCAACTAAATACACGTCAAGTACCAAACACTTAAAAAATAAAGCGTTACGATTAGCAATTTCTTGTTGAGGGATTGAGAGTTGGCTTAACTTTAAGTGCATTTTAATATTTTGAAACAATGATATTATCATATCAAAGAAGATTCAATGTTTTAGAGTGCTATAAACACAGCAAACCACAGCTCATACTCACAGAGGCTTGTGCTGTTGCTTTCCCTCCAAAATGAAGTCACTTCCTGTAGGATGACGTCATGAGGGAAGTGACTGTTGTTATTTAAAAGGATAAAAGACAAACAGGATGGAAAGTAATATTGAGGACGGGAAAAAAATTAAAAATAGATGAACAATTATGACAACATTTCTGAGAAGGTATGAACATATTATTTCAAGCATATTGATTTGAGAAAGAAACACTTGAATGAAAAAAATAATTCTTAATGATTTTTACTAAATAAATTGTCAGTTTTTCATGTTAAAAGTTAATCTGCTCAGACCAAAATAAAATAATTTATGTGAAATACAGTGCATCAGTCACTTAAAGCAGCACTAAGTAGGAATTCCGTTTTTGTCAAACAGCGACCCCTAGAGTAGCTGTGGAGTACTTGTACTGTCGTGAATATCAGTCACGCAGAGATGGCTCGCACTCACGGCCGGATCCCCTCCCCCTGTACACCGGTACCTGTTCAGTAGGATGGACGCTGTAACGAGTGGAAATAAGGTATGGCCCCTTTAAGAGCTGCGCGCGCCCTGTTTAACTGTCGGCAGTCTGTATTGTATGTGCGCCTCGAACACCACATGTATACGGCGCCGGGTTATTTCTGTTTGATGCTCATTTTATCAGAATTTTCCGTAAAGCAATTCGTTACCTCGCGAGACCTGATATCACACGATACTTCCTAACACTGAGGCCGGCGGCCCGCCGGCCCAAAGTTGCAAGGATGGTTTTGCGCCTCACAGGCACCAGGGGGGTGCGAGACGACCACCATTCAACAGGAAATCAGTAATATAAACATTACAATGACTCCAAAGCTGCTCGGTTAAGGTAAAAAAGTTACTTAGTTCACCTTTAACTGTGTCATTGTGATAAACAACAATATTGTTTATTGTATTACATTTAATAACATTGTACATATTATCTTTATACAATATAAAAATAGATTTACAATTCATAAAATAATGTTTTTAATATATTGTAAAAAGACAATATATTAATAGTATAATAGTTAATAGTTAATAAGAAAATAGTTTTTATAATATTTGTAAAATAAAAAATTGTTTTAGTTTGTAAAAAAATATTTTTTATATATTTTTTAAAAATATGACTTATTTTTGAGACAATACTTATCCTTTACATTAAAACATATGCACAATATTTTTTAAAAAAATTAAAAAATAGTTTTCAAATGTATAAAATTTTTATATCTTTTCAAATAAAAATATGACTTCTTTTTTAGATAATATTTTATCCAATATATTAAAACATTATAAGCACGAGAAAAAAGAGCTGCCTAACATAAATGACTCAATATCATCAACCATAAACCACATCCACGTGATACTGTGGCGGTTAGTAGTGTTCACACCAGTAATTTGCAACAGTTTATCTCCTCATTAGTGAGCGTATAACAGTTCCAGCTTGTTTCCAGTAACTTGTGCACTCTGCATCCATTAAGTTTGTTTTATATCCAGGCAGGCATAAATACACTGTGAGTGAACCGGGGCAATCTGATATCTTATACGACTGGAAAACAGTCCCGGTTCAGGTCCAGAATGGTAGATCATACAGGAACTAAAATGAAAACAGGCATAATTCAATGAACAGCAAAACATCCTTGCGGACACCATGAGCAACCAATGCCAGGAAGACGGGCACTGTGGACGCATTAGAGTAAAGATGACATCAGTCAAACAATTCAGACTTATTTGAAATATGATTATCATAACAATAGCCTATAGGCCTATACAGATAATGTTTTCTAAACATGCATACAGAGACAACAGGGCACTAAACTTCACGTATCAAAACAGCATGTGCATTCTTGACGGCTGATGTTTGTCTCTTCGACTCCAGAGTGTGAGATGTGTACAGCAGCACTGTGTAATCTCTGGTAATGAAACATCAGCGTCTGCGGGCCGGCGTTCATTCCACGGCGAGCCTCTTACCATTGCTAACAGCTCCTTCTAGTGGTCAAAATCTCAGAGGTGAAGTAAATCCAACAGCAAGGCCCATACCGACACTCAGCCTTGTACAGCTGGGCAAAACAAGAGACACCATGCATGTATGAAAAACACAGAACAATCAAAAGAAATAAAATATCATGTCCAGTCCTTTAAACTTGGTATCACACATATGACAAAGCAATTTTTAAGCAAAACAGAGCAACTCATTTCGCCACAGTGATGAACTTTACATATGGGACATGTGCAAATGCCATTTTGGAGCACTCTATAAGGCAAACAGGGACATGTAAACAGCAGAGAGACACTTGGGACACCGAGCGAGAACAATCGTGTCTGTTAAATCTCATCTTTTTCAAAGTGTGGTTTCAGTAGTTCAAAGTTTGGAACAGGTGGGTGTAGATTGCCTATTCTTCAACTACCACCAAGACCACTGTAATTAAAGCTCAAACGAGACTTGGCAACTCAACGAAAGCCTCTCTGCATGAGAGAAAAGAGACTCTAAGCATTTACCACAGTTTTTACCACACACCTCAGCTGGTTTTAATTTTGCACTGCAGTGATTTGTCTTCATGGTTGCAGTCAGTAGCTATTCCTGCACATGTGAATGTTGCTTATAGGTTTCTAGGGGAGACCAAGGTGAACTGTAACCCCGTTAGTTTAACCATTTAGAAACAATACGTGGATGGAATCACTATTGATGATTGCCACTCTAATGAGAATAGTTGGAACTTGGTTAGATACTTTCACATCTGGCTTTTTATTCGATTTGTGATCACGTCGATGAAGATTACATGACATTTTATCTGAATCAGCAGCTTCTCTTGTCAAATTTGATTTAGCATTCAAACAAACTCTCTACCTTTGGAGAGTTGTGACACAACTACTCTAAAAGATTTCCTGTGTGACTGACACTTGTTAGCATTTTATCTATGTTGTATATTTAGAATGAAAATATGTATATGTTCACTGTTTTGAATTAAAATGCTTCAAATGAGGGTGCGGTGGTGATTGAAAAATGGCATAGTCGTTATATAAGTAGGCTATTTGATTAGTTTTCTATTAGTGCTACCGGTAGGTTGTATAAACAGCACACTTTGTACTTCACACTAATTTGAACAGTTTGAGGATAAGTAATAGATTTCAAAACGACTTGAATTTGTAGAAGCCAAACATGGGAATGATATAAAACAGTTTGAGACACATACAGCAAAACAATACAGAGTTACAGACGTTGAAACAAAACACTCCCCGTTCTCCCCTACTCGTACATGTTCTCTGCGCTCACTAATATACGGGTGGTGCCTGCAGCAGAGCGCTTTAATCGTGCTCTTTTGTGTGTATACTCCATAAGGCATGTAAATGTGAGGAAGCGTCTTTATCATGTCACATCCATGTTGCCTTTAGTCGCGTTTTGTCTTGAATCTGTTGGAAAGCCGCTGAGCTTCGCGCACGAATCTGACGCTATACCAGCCACAAAGTGCACGGACGATCTCAGAGGATCATATCTACGATTTTGCATGGATTTGTGTTTTGCTCTGCGCTCTTGGCATCACTGCGTAAAAGACTGATCCTATTGCCGAGGGGGGGAAAGGCGCTGGCGCTGCGCCACGATCTGGCAAGTGCGCCTCCCTTCACCGCTGTTTGGCTTATTCATAGTTAGGGGTTTGGGTTTGGCTGTTTTTAAAAAGGCAAGCACTGCTGTGAAGTTGATCAGTCTGCTCAGAAAACTTCCAGAGGGGAAAGTGTTTTGGAATCGGAAAGTCCAGAATTTCAGTGCGCAACCAATTGCGCACAAACTGGACTATTGGAGAATACCTATGTGATTCATTTATTTTATATGTATTTATATGAAAATCCACCGGATTGTTCTTTATCACCTTTTTAAGAGACTATTTTTAATTGAATAATTTTTAAAACACCACAACCAGTGCTTTCACTTTGCATGCGGACTTTTCCTTTGAGTCGAATCTGAGCCAAACGTTCATGCGTTCTCATATCTAGTTTTTTTTTTTTTTTTGTTTTTTTTTTTGCCATCGGACCTCATTCACTTTGACACGAAGTATGGCTCTTCTTGTGCTGGGTACATTTCTGACGGCGTTGTCCATCAGCGGAGGCTCTTATGTGCCGTGCGAGCCGTGCGATCAGAAGGCGCTCTCCATGTGTCCTCCGGTCCCGGTGGGCTGTCAGCTGGTGAAGGAGCCCGGCTGCGGCTGCTGCTTGACTTGCGCTCTGGCGGAGGGGCAGGCATGCGGGGTGTACACCGGTACATGCACGCACGGGCTGCGATGCCTGCCGCGCAACGGTGAGGAGAAGCCGCTTCACGCCCTGCTACACGGCAGGGGAGTGTGTACGAACGAGAAGGGATACAAACCACCGCACCCACCTATTGGTAAGTTAACTGGAAAGCAGTGCGCTTTTGTTGCACGGAGGCATTGTTGCGTTGAGATCGTGTATCTGGTGGGAACTTTGTGGCTTGGGCTGATCCAGTTTTATTGCGTGCGCATGTTTCTGCATGAGCTTTTCTGTTGTGGCCGGTCTGTGCTGCTCACTGCTGTTTTCCATCATATTCCAGCACTGCATATTGTTAGGATTAGTGAAACCTGTTTGTGTTTCATCCAAAGCCAATCATTAACAAACGATTTTCAATGCAATCTTTACGCTGCAAAGGCATTTACAAAAATAGTACCGCGTTTTATGGAAATGTACCATGGTATTAATGTACGTATAATGTAAATAGTCAACCATTCCGTTACCATTGTATTATAATCTGGTACTTCCACATTTGAGTGCTGCGCATTATAAGTATTAGTGTAGATTATTTTATTCAAAGCCAATATCAACAAACACTAGCCTACAACTAAAAGTACCATGTTTTTGGTCATGTACTATGGTACTACCATGTTTTTTGGCATCTACCATAGTATCATTATTGTTTTGGACGTACTTGGAGTTCCAAATAAATGCCATGGTTGGAGTCTCAAATAATGGCATTACTGCCACAGTACTTTTTGTAAGAAATATTGTAAAAACAAAAATCGTACTGAAGCTACTTATGTATATAATGTATGTGCACAGAAATAATTTGTGGCGAAATGTATGAAAAATCTGATTGTGATTAAAAACATTAAACTATAAAAGATAAACTAATATATATATTCTATCTTAACAAAGTTCAAGGCTGCTCTGATGCTGCATTTCATTGGCACAGAAGCAAAGCAGCATCAGACTCACCAGAACTGCATAATTTAGTATGTTGCTCAGAACTGTGTAAAGAGCCACAAGAAAGATGCATAACTCCATACAGTCTTGCTTTGTGCATAGTTAGTGTTTGATTTGGCAGTGGTGCTCTATTGACATTAGTGACTCCTCCATTGTTATGATCACACCTCTCATCATTGTACGGTGTACCCACGTCTCATGATATTCTTGATTGAGATTCTAGGTTGCTCTGAATTTAGGTCTAAAGTCTGTGGGTGGTGTTGAGGGATGGATTACCGTTCAAAGATTAAATCCATGGGAAGGAGGGTAACTGTAGTGTGTCTACAAGCCCTCCTATCTGCAAAAATCGCATGTTTATGAAGAATAACCGTCCACAGCATGCATATTTATTTATATTTATGTATTTGGCAAATGCTTTTATTCAGTGCATTCAAGTCATGCTTTTCCCTGGAATCGAACCCCCAACCTTGGCGTTGTTAGTGCAAAACTCTACCAGTTGAGCTACAGGAACAAAAATGGACTATGTGGTTTCAGAATTATATATTTTAGACAACAGCAATGCATGAAACGGAGACAATTTGCTTTATTCTACAAGACAGCACATATTTCGTAAAACAGATGAGGTTTAATTCAGCCGTGGGTGTTTGTACACAAATACAACCCCCTCACACACAGGTGCACATCAGAAACCCGTTTGTCGCTATCTGAAGTCCTCTGATGAGTGCGGTTGCTGGTTTACCCCTTCTGTGATTGCAGTGGGCACACAGTCGAGCCCTTGTGATTCAGCAAAATGTCTGTGGAGCCGATCTATCAAGAGCTGTTCGTCAAGCATGGGGATGAATTTAGAGGAACGGTTCTAGCCTCCCGTGGTATTCGGTTTCAGCCTGGTTTTACTAGCTGGGCAGGACGGACAGAGAGAGAGAGAGAGAGAGAGAGAGGAGAGGGGTGGGGTGGTGTGTGTGTGTGTGTGTGTGTGTGTGTGTGTGTGTGTGGGGGGGGGGGGGGGGGGGTCAAGCGTCCTTGCCCGCATTAGGATTCAGAGCTTTTTGGCTCGTGTCTTCCTGATCCATTTTTATTCCCCCTCAGTTTCACAGTTATGCAAACATAAAATTGAAATACAAGTTTAAAACGGAATCATTTCTCACTCAAGGAACATAACATGTGAATAGTCTCGTACCTCCATGGCCTTGAATGCTGGCACTCACGATTTAAAGATTGAATGTTTTGAGCCAAGTACAAAAGGTTATGCGTCGCCATTGATGGATTGGCAAATTCTGCAATTGTGTCAATGATCACATGGGAGACTTTCTGTTTTGACATGCCATGTGGATCTTGGATGCAGTTGCCAACAGATATGACTACAGGCTACTTTTCCGTTAAGTCTGTGTTAGCAACGATTGCACACCACGGTCTGAATCTAAGAGCGTGCAAATAAACAAACGTATAGAATCGGGCCAAAAGAAGTTGGCTGTTGTATTCGGTTACTTCTGCATCTCTGATTTATGCGTTTTATTTACCCACCAGAGACGTAGCCATAACTAAACAACGATTACAAGGGAATGGAACGCAGTTGTTCTTCTATTGCCTGTCTGTCATCAAATTTTTATATTATGCCACTGGCCAAACTCACAGAAACGTAGACTTGCTTGTATACGTATACCCATACTGACATTGACAGATATATGGATCGCTTCACTGAAAAGGATCTGAATAGATCTCTTGCACTTTTTGAAAGTGATGCCTAGCTTTTGAAACTTTGTATAATCTGCACATTGGTTACTTTTAACCATTTTTTTTTGTTTTACCATAAGTCTACAGCGCTCGTATATCAAGTGCCCTGTCATCCTTTGCAGAGGTATGCAAGCAGGGAACCTATTTAGCATGCTTGAATGACTTCTTCCAGTAAAGTTTAACAGCAATCTGCCCAGCGTGTATTTGTCATTGGCACCTGGAAAGCTAGTGAGTAACAGCTGTGAAGAAAATCAGCTTGCACAGTAGTCTCGTCTCTGTCAGAAACGTGATTCCCAGGCTGCGACATCCTCACGCTGGGCCCTGCTTAAATAAGAACACATGTTAGGCTGACCAAAACAGTGAACGCACAAAAACAATCTATTTAATCTATGGGTTTACAGCTCACATTTAGAAAATTAAACATACAGAATGTAAGCAGACAGCAGGGCTGTAACCATGTGGTTTAGCAGAAGACGCCGACCTGTTGAAACCTCCTGTCATGTGCTTCGGGGTGGTGGAGGGGGAGCCGCAGTGTCACGTTTCTTTAGGGAAGGAGAACAAAAGGTGCCTAATTTCTTGCCTGCAGCACAGGTTCAGATGTGGTTCCAAAGTGCTGCCTCAAATTTTGTGCCCTGCAGGATTCTTGAGAGGATAGATAAGATACAGCACAAGACAATCGTTACTTTGCTGTAGCTCTGTTACAGTTGTTACATTTGGTTGTTGAGGATCATGGGAAAGGTGATTTGGAGCTTGGACCCAAAATTTTGCTTGCTCAGAATAGCCGATTTATTTGAAAATGATTTGAGAAAGCTCATTCTATGAGTAACACACACTTGTTGTGTGTGCATAGGTCTACATACTACTGTACATATACGTACAGTGTACGTATACATACAGTACATATTATACTGAACGTATAAGTGGGTGAAATTACCCCCAAGTTTGATATTATGTTCATTTATATCACGCTAACACTCTAACTGCTGTGTACTATAATGTGTACTATAGTAGTCTCACATCATATAACACTCCATGCGTACTATTACTTACTAAACGAATACAACGAGTAGTTATGACGCTAAATTCTGAGCCGCAAATGAAGCCAAGGCACTCGAGAGTTGAAGTAAATGTATGCAAAAAGCATTTATTTTATTATACTTTCTTGACTTGTTTGGGACACGTCTCGCGCCGCATTTTCACATTACTGCTTGTTTCTTTGTCGCTCTCATGTGTAAACAATGTAAAGCAGTCCTGTCCACTGATAGTCATGCAAATATATCTACCACAGTTTAAATGGTATAGCAAAATCTCTGGCTGACACAGTTCTACCATCATAACAACCAGTCGTACTTCCTACAGTTTAAAACCTTCAATATATCCTACAATGAATCCTTCTCATGGGCATTTTATGATTTGGGGCTTTTCAGTGTCAGTTAAAAATCTTTTTTTTAAGGCCCATTTTACCTGTAGAAAATCCGAAGGTGTTTTTCCACTTTAAGCCGCACATGAACAATTGCATATCCCCTTTAAATGATTATATAGAAAATGAAGAATAAACAAGTTAATAAATAAAAGATAGTTTAGAAGAGGAAAGATTGATACTCTTGACGGAAAGATGCCTTGAGCTTATAGACAGTATCGCTCTCTTGCCATTGTCTGAGCTAATTGAAATCAGCGACTTCGAGTGATCCACTGATGTCCTGAAGAGCACCTCTTGAGTTCATGTTTCGGAGTGTTGATGACATGAGACACGGTCAGGCGATGAAGAGGTGCGCACATTTGCTTCAGCCTTAAAGGCATCGACAGGTGTCATCACTTTGCATTGTCCTCCTGAATTACAGGGGACTTGTTTGAATAGTAAGTTATATGACGACTTTCTTGGTTGTAACTGATAGCATATTGCAACATGGAAACTTTTATCCCAAAGTGTAGCTTTTAATGTTACTTTGCACTTTGCAATTACCCCGACTTTAACTCGCATTAGTGCACAGTTGCATTTCTTGGTATTCTTTCTGGTAATATAGCATGCTTATCTGCTACAGCGGCCCAAGCATGTTGTGGACACGGTCCAGGCTTTAAATATTTAGCAGTGGAGTCTTGCCAGGGATGCCATGGTTGGTCTGTGACAATGAATGCAAGACAAAGACAAGCCCAGCAGAAGGGCCTGCTTCAAGAACGACTTTCAAAGGAGAGCTAGTCTGAATATTTAACAATAGCAAGACCTAATTCTAACCGTGCATGCTAATAAGAGACTAAAGGACATGGTTTGAGGCCCCTAAGGATTTCAGAAGCACCTTGTATTTGCATTTCTCGGCTTGTTTGGCTGCACATTCTGAAAAAGAAATCAGACTAGGTGACAACGCAGCTCAAACGGGGATCTGCTTTCATCATTAGCCCCCAAGCTGTAAGAAACTGTGGATATTCATGAAGTATAATTGCCCAACGCACATGTAAATTATTAAACAGAGCCCTATCAGATGCATCTCTTTTGGCCAGGCTCGGGTCCCTTTATCTTAATGAAAAGTTTTGCAAGACCAAGAGGAGAGACACCAATACCTCTTGAGCATTCTTTCCAAAGCTCATTTGAATAGACAGGCTACACGTGATACGTCTGGTTTGGCCTGGCTCCAGGATCTTGGCTGTGTGTCAGATGTTAAACACAGACCCGCTAAACCTTTACAAGCTGGGGACCACGAGCATGGAAAAAGTGATTTTGGTCCTCACTCCGAAAAGCCTGCAACTGAAAAGACGAATTTAGTGGTTTACAAACTCTATAGTCATCGCTGATTTCTTAAACGCGATGCTTTTGGACCGTGCGCAAGGAGTAAAGTCACGAAAACAACCGTAAGGAATTGTTTTTGCCAACCCAGTCATCCTGCACCCTCCCTTTTAAGTCTACATTTCTAAGCCATGTAAATCTCCCTCTAGGCAAACTTCCCTATGACATTTCCATGAGGTGATCTCAAATTCGGTGGCTTCGGGAGCCCAAACCTGCGGGGAAATCTGTACAGAAATTTCAGTCTGCCAAGTCATGGGTTGCAGGATTGATTTCAAAGAGAAAGTACCATGCTCTGATTGTAACTTCAGAAGCCAGGAAACCAATTCCTGTAATGACCAGGCACCCGCCCCATGCGTCTCCAGGTCAGACAGACTCTTTCACCACCGGCCCGCTCCAGAACACCCTGCCCCAGTCCGCAGCAATGTGAAGCACTGGAGCTCAGAGGGACTGCGAGGGCAGTTATCTCAGTCATTTCTGCTGGCTGCCTCAGCTGTCTGATAATGCCCTCTTGGCTGTGTGCGCAAAAAAAATACTTGGCACCCCCAACAGCCTTGATGTTCAGGACTGAATCCGTATGTCCATTTCCATTCGGATTGATTCTCGAATGAAGCCACAATCAGATGCGATATCAAAAAAAATACTTATAATACCAATCTATATGCTTTAATAATCGCTTCGTGTTGTGCCTAACACGATCCTTTACTCAAGTATTGAGTACAATGAAATACTCTACCAATGCATAAAACAATTTGCAATTTGAATAAAACAGCTTGGTGTGTTCATATAGAACGTGCAAAAACAGGAGGGCATTAATCAGAATTTAGAATTGCTACATAAATTTGCATCGCATGCTGGCATCAGGTTTAGTCTGAAAGAAAACAATATAATATTCACTAAATTATATAATTAAACCACAACCATAAACAAATACACCTCCTATTTGGTATTGCAAATATGATAAATATTCATTTATTAGTTGATTTTACTGGTTTGGATGACTAAATGTCAATGTAATGTTATCTCCTGATATTGTATGCTTAGCGTTAATGATCTGTTAATCTCCTCTGGATGTACTATGTTTGGCTTCGCTCTGCATCCAAAGTATTTGACTTCAGTGGAAAGACAATTTATAAGTAGAGGCATGTATCCTGTGGAGTTTTACTATCAAGCTATACGTGCTTGAATGACTTGTTCTGCAATATCTCCACATTTCCCCTGGACACATGTTGGACACAGCCTTAGATTCTTGAAGAAGAAGGTTGTGGTTGTCATGGTGTTATGGTTATTGTGACTTCAAAGTTCCTCTCTGAGCTGTTAAGGGTCCTTTGAAAAGCCGTTTCTGTTCTCACTCATGCACATGCGCTACAATGTAATCAAAGGAATTATTCAGCTGTAAAAACAGAAGCGCATTCAATGTTTAGGCAGTACACCTAAGTGAATTTTAGAAAAATCCCATCAAATAGCATTAGAATTTTGAGGATTTTGTTTCAAGTTGTATAGGGTGTGATAGGTTTGGGGGGGATGGTCATCAGCTGTTGATCCTGCCCCCTCCCTCTGTAAACAAATGCATAGGAAACATTTGGTGAAAAAACAGTTGCTTTAATGTTTACACTCTAGACACTCATTAGCAACCAGGATGTGTAAGAAAAAAGTGTTGCTTTGCAACCTAACCTAAAATACAACATATCACAATAGTCGACCAGTTGTCTGACCACCGACTCCATTACACACCACTTTGTCTGTTGTTAGGATGACAAAAAGTTTTGGTAACAATTTATTTTAAGGTGACGTAGTTACTACATGTACTTATTATAGTAATAACTGTAAATTATCCATAATTACAACAAGTAACTAACCCTAAACCAAACCCTAACCATAACTCTATAGTAAGTACATGTAGTTAATTCATATTAATCAGTTCTTATCTGAGTAAGTACAATGCAACTACATCACCTTAAAATAAAATGTAACCAAAGTTTTAAAAGTAAAATTTCTATGTGTCTCAGTGGTCTTACAGCGCTCGTCACTGTCAAAATAACTGAAATGTCCAATCAAGCAAGGTTGGTACTATAATTTGAATGATACCAAATTGTGCGACTTATTAAGGTTTGCTAATGCATTTTTTAGCTGGGCGGATGATAAAGCGAGTGAAAAAATCCCATAGATTTACATCAAAAGACCTCAGAGACGAGAATATAACAGAGAATAATATTGCTACTAAAAACAATAGCAACGCCCCGGCAAGCACTTTAGCATCATGGCTGTGAGTTTTGCACTTGCACTCACATTTTCTTGCAGTAAAAGCCTAGTTAACGCTTATTGTTTGATTCTCTTTGTCTTAGATCGTGAATCAATAGAGCATGATGATACAGTGAAGCCAGACACGACTGAAGACCAGAGTCCTAAAATTCCCCTTAAAATTCCAGATGTAATCAACAGCAAGAAGCATGCTGCCGTGCGCAAGGACAAGAAGAAACAACAGGAGAAGCTTCGCTCAGTGGGGACGATGGATTACTCCCCCCTTCCCATTGACAAGCATGAGCCTGAATTTGTAAGTTGTGTGACGCAGCAGCTGCAGTAAAATGATAGCTAGCCGTAAACACTGAGGTGATGATGTAACTCACAATGTGTTGGTCTGACGCAGGGTCCCTGCAGAAGGAAGCTGGATGGAGTCATTCAAAATATGAAAGACACCTCACGCGTCATGGCTCTTTCCCTCTACCTGCCTAACTGTGACAGGAAGGGCTTCTTCAAGCGCAAGCAGGTAAGACTGTTGTTTCTTTTATTGTATAACATGGATATTTCAATTTAATATGATCGATTTTTTTTATCATTAAAGTCAGTCGATTTTAATGCCGTCAACGGAAATGGTTAGAAACAAACTCACTGCAGAACCACTGCGCGTCTCTCGTCAACCTTTCCTGAATATATCTGTTTTGAACAAATCGGATCATTCAATAAATCAAATGACTCACACAGATAGTCACTGTCACCACCAACTGGTGTATTGGTGTAATTTGCATACAGTCACTGAAAAATCCCTATCACTAAAAAAAATAAATATATATATATCTCATTGTCTCTTGAATACCATGTGATTCTTTTTATTTTTGGGCTACATGAACCCAAACCAAATGATCAGATTATTTAAAGGGTAACTAAACCCCTGGTCAGAGCCTGACTCCACCCACTGGCAATATTTGAAAAATGCTGGAAAAGTGGGTGGAGCCCAGCGGAGATAGAGGGGATGAACGGATACTCTATCCTGATCGTTTTCAATATTTGCAATTCCAACTCCTGACTCGCTACAGTGGTTTTGACGAAACAAGGTTTTTATACTGCCATGGACGTGGTAGCTCGTACCAAAGGGCGTGGTAAGCTGAAACCTGCTTACGTCAGCTCTCACCGCTACCGTCACGAACTACCGCAAACATCCAATAGGAAAATTCAACTGCAGTAGCCACTGTTCAACCTGAAGAGGGCAGCACTCAGACGTTTTTACACCATATATTGTAGAATTAAAACACTTTATACCCAAATGTCAAAAAAGTTACTCGAATCAATGAACAGCATTAATAAAGCCCCAGTCTTACAGATCATTAACTAAAAAAAGTTGGTTTAGTGTTTAGTTACCCTTTAACAAATTTGTAAAATATTCATACATGTGACCATCACCATCCATCAGTTGAATTCTATAATAATGCAGTGATTTGCAACCTAAAATACACCATATCACACCAGTCGTCTAATCAAGTCTATTCGTGAGGTCCACTCGTTTATTTACATTTTCTGCTCTGCTGGGCTACATTATGCACAGCTTCTGCTTGTTGTGAGGGTGATAAAAAGATTTAAAAGTTACAGTTTTTAGGCTGGTCTACCTCAGTGGTCTTACAGTCTTCACCAATTTCAAAATGACTGAGATGGCCAATCAAATCAAAGAAGGAGGGCGTTACGGTTTACAGAACTTAAACTTGAATTGAAGTGAAACGCTTCAGTTTTAGTGGGGAGAAATTGTGAGGTAGAATGTAATTAGTGATGCAAACTACTCAACCTTTTTGTCAAATGTCACCCTTTTAATTCGAAGGAATAGGCTATCATTTACGTGATTCATGTTAATCATACTTGAATATGACGAAAACAAAAACGAAGCCATTTTCGGCATATTATTAAGAGTGAATGCATGCATATATAAAATAATATATAATATTTGTAAAAAGTTCAAACTAAATTTTAGCTCTTTTTTCCCTTAAATCCCCTTTAAGGGATAGTTCACCCACAAATAAAAATTCTGTCATTTATTACTCACCCAACGTTCCAAATCAAAATCTTTGGAAAACTAATGAGCGGCTTAGTCCAAATTTTCTAAAGAGACACGATTGCTTTTTATGATAAACAGATTGAATTTCGGTTTTTATATTTGCATTTAAACATTCATAAGCTCACACATCAGTTGTGGAAAAACGGAAGCTCAAGCATGTTTCACGTTTGACCTGCGAGAACCAATGAGGTTCATTCTCGTGTTACGCAGGACGTTTGAGCTTCTGCAAGAACCAATGAGGTTTGTTCTCGCGCGTCAAGCGAGCTTCTGTTTATTTTCACTGATCAATGTTTATATGTGATTAAAAGCCTAAATTCTATCTGTTCATCATATAAAGCGATCGAGTCTTTTCAGAAAATTTGGACTAAACCACTCAATTCATATGGATAAGTTTTACAATCTCTTTATGAACTTTTTGAAGCGTCTAAGTGGTAGTTGCGTAGCTGTCAATGGAGGGATAGAAAGCTCTCCGATTTCATCAGAAAGATCTTCATTTGTGTTCTGAAGATGAACAAAAGTCTTACGGGTTCAGACCGACATGAGAGTGAGTAATTGATGACAGAATTTTCATTTTTGGGTGAACTAACCCTTTAAATACTTTAATAAATAAGTAAATAATTAAAAAGACCATTACTACTACCCCCATGTTCATACATCTTTACAGCTGTAGCTGTAATGTTTTTTTATTTATTTAAAGTCTACTGAAGAAAATTAGTTAAATAGTTGCGTTCAAAAAAATGTAGTTTCAAAACTAAATCACTCCCATTATAATCAACACAGTCATGTACACTTGAATTGTACACTCGAATTGACTGTCTTTTTCTAATTACATCACACCACAGATATTTTGTGAATGCATGCCGGTCCTAGTTGAGGCATTCTCATTGAGTTGGACTGCTTGCAGTTATATGACCCTTTGTCCCTTGTCCACCCTGCAGTGCAAGCCCTCCCGCGGCCGGAAACGAGGCATCTGCTGGTGCGTGGACAAATATGGCGTGCAGCTGCCCGGCACTGACTACAGCGGCGGTAACATCCAGTGCAAGGATTTGGAGAACAGTAACAACAACGAGTGAGAATCAACCCACCCTGATCACCAGACCTAGGGCCCACCCTCCTTGTCCTGTCCCACCAGTCTACCCGCCAGTCACTTTGAGATTTTGATGCAAAACGACAAAGAAACACAACAGCTATTACAAATATGAACAATCAGACTAAAAAGAAAATGTTAAAGTGAGATAATCCACAGGAATCGTTTTGACTGATCGCTCATCTCTATCTCACTGGACTCAGCCAATCAGAGGAGCCCCCTGCTAGGGCTGAGTCCCGGCAACAACAACAACAAAAAAAATTGTTAAAAATATATACATACAATTATATATTTTTATAGAAGCTGGGGTTTGAGCACCATACTGTTTTGTTTAAAGTTAACATAAAACAAAAAACTACAAAAAAAAAAAAAAGAATATATGGCATGTTGAATATTAACAGGGCTATCTTGGTCTTTTACATCTTTTGTTGTCAAGGTATCAAAGGAGATAGCAGGAACTCTTACTATTTGAAAAAACAAACAAAAAAAAACATTTGTTTTCCAAAAGAAAAAAAAAGGAAAACACGTGTTAGAGATCTGCTGATACAGTCATCTCTATCTGGCTTTTTTGGTCATGTCAGAGCACTTATTCATTGGGAAACCTGCTTGGAAATGTGTAACTTCACCAAGTTCAGTGTATGCGTGTGTGTGTACGAGTGTGCGTTTGCGTGCACACCTGCGTGAGCAATGAAATACGGCGATAGCTTTCAAAAAAGGAATGTTTTTTTTTTTTGTCTTTGTGGCATATCCCTCCCAGAACGTAGTGAAAACAAGGATCCCATTAGACAAATCTGTTTCAGTGGCTCCAGACTTTGTAGCTTACCTAACATGCCAACCGTGCCTATGTAAACAGACGCTGCCACGCAGTTTTACACGGGTGAGCAGAGCAATCCCGAACGAGAAATAAAGTCCACACAGAGAATCAATCGGTGTCCACGCCTAGAAAAGAAAGGGCCACTCTGGAATAGTTTCGTATCAGATATTGTGGCATCTGGGCCGAGTTAAAATCGAGACAGATGCTGTAACCCTTAAACGCTCCCAGCATTTGCGTTTGAACTTTGACGGACGTTCGCCGTGCAGAGCGGTAGTTTCTTTCTGTCTGTAATGTTTTATTATATTACTTTTTTGCGGAATAACTTTTGTTATGTGCTGTTTCCTTTGACTTCATGGAGGTAATGAAAGTCCACTTATGAGCCATGTTCCTCGACCATGTGGTTTCACTGAAAATAGGTGTAACCTTGGTATATTACCTTTAACTCTAGATTATTGAATGTTTTCTTTTTTGTTTTGTTGTCCTTAACAAACAACCACAACGATCTGGTGCTCAGCAAAGGAGTTTTAGCATTATCAATTTGCATATTTCCATCTGACCTGTCACAGTGACAACTTGCTCATTTGAATGCAGGTCGGACCACTTTTTAAGATCCGCCCACTTTGACTGTTCACAAATCGGTAATAGCTCTTTTGGTTAGCATGATGACACATTTCATTTGTATTTCTGTATTTCATCTAACCACAAGGCACGGTGGAAACAGAAGGTGTGTTTCACTACAGTGACGTTCAGTGTGAGTTTCTGTGTGCGAGTCTCAGTGCCTTCCTACATGCAAATACATTTGAATGGTGACGTGAACGTTACACAATAGCCAAGGGGAACGAAACAACCTTTTCATATTGACGAAGGACCTCAATTGCGTTCAAATATTGCATCAGATCAGATACGAAATCCGTTACACTACATTGTATGTCAAGCAGCTATCAGAAATCGCTCCCTGCACCGAGGCTAAGATAGGGAGATCGTAGTCCAGCTAGCGCTAGCTCATTTACTGTTATTTCTCTTACGAATAAGCTGACGATTGATTTGACAGAGACTGCAAATGTGTGTAATTGCTGACGAGAGTATTTTCAATCAAGCTATACATCAAACAGGGATACTCACCAGTCAGCTCTTGAAGAGTAAGTGAAGCCATTCCCTGCCACAATGGGTCCGTCCGGATCTTATTTCAGGGCCCGAATGATCATAGTTTCACTGCTGGGAGGGGGCTGTAAAAGTAGTCACTAATCTATCCAGATCTCAGTCATATAAATAGGCTACCCATCATAACCAGGCCCAGACGGAATCCGCCCGTCTGCATATTCCATATTTCAGACCATGGAGTTGAGAGAACTACGTTCTTATTGGTAGCTGAAAGCACAATCAAATTAGCCAGAGAACGTCGCATAGAATTCCATGCACAAAGATTCCGTGTGGGCCTGGCTGGAATTTTAAATAACCACGGGTTCGCAGAATGCAACCCTTGCATGTCAAAAAAGAATTGCGAATGACAATTGGCTCTCAGATAGGAGGAGGTGGTGGTGAGTGAGAGAAAGAGTGAGTTCAGGGCGTGCGGGTTAACCAGACTTTCGCAGGTGTCTCGAGTACGTCGTGGAGGCGTAGTCGCCGCAGTTATTGCACAATTCGCCTGGTAGGTGTCTTTACCACAGGGCGAAATCAGTAATCAGAGTAATCCAGGTCCTGATCCATGCCGAAAGCCCCCTCCCCCATTTAAAGAAAGCAGCTTGCACTTAATTCCTTACCTTGCCACACGTTTAGTGCCGTCTCAAAGTGAATCTCAGTTCAGGTACAGGAGCAGGAGCAGGCCTCGGACAGATACCCTGCCTGAGTACCTTTGACAGGGGCTTCGCAAGCCCAAGCCTGAGACCCACATCATCATTCAGTGGGTTTACCAGTAATACAACTCTACCAATCACAGTCTATTCTCCATCTACTCTTAATAGACTTTGCGTCTCAGTGATATCCAGGGAGAAGGAGAGCGGGTGAGAGCCTTAAGCGGTGATCTTGTGCTGGGCCTCCCTTCACAACACATACTGCAAAAATCATTAATCAGTATCTCTGTCTTGTTTTCCTGGTAAAATCATCTGAACGACTTTATAAGTAGTTGAATTTACTTGAAAAGCAAAATCATATCTTGAATTGCATTCATAAAACGAACAACTTTTAGGGAAAGAAAAACAAACTAGTGTGGCCAAAAACCAAAATTTGTGTACTCTTATGTTTCAAACCATTTTTACTCACTTTCTTCCGTGGAACACCAAAGGAGAAGTTTAGCATGATGTCCGAGCTGCTCACTTCTATAGTTTGTCAAGCTTCAAAATGAACAAACGAAGCACCATACAAGTCATAGTCAGTTGTACGAGAGCTTTGTGCAAAAAAAAATAGTTGTTAATTTAAAAATCCTGCCTTGAAAATCTTGCTTGACTGCCGTGTTCACCATTCACTTGTTCATAACGCAGCTGCAAATATCTTCTTTTGTGTTCCATTGAAGAAATAACGTTATGAAGGTGATAATTCAAGACATATTCAATGAGAATAAGCATTATTTTATTCCAAAGTGTTGCTTCTCAAGTCAATTGATCTTGTTTTAAAAACGTCTAGATATTTTTTTACTGAAAAACCAGACAAAAATACACATTTTTGCAGTGCTTCACACTTCATAGTACAATTTTTAGATAGACAGTCTCGGAATCTGATAAGCAGGCACGCAACGGCTTTGGTCACGAGTAAAAAAAAAAAAAAAAAGTGTTTATCTGAAAACCCTGAATGTTATAAGACGATGCACTGTGGCTGAAATTAAGTTGTACCTTGTTTCCCCAGGCCGTAGAATCCATCTGGGTGTCATTGTGAGAATGGGAAAGAAATGTCATTAATGTGATTTTGATCCGTTCTGATTTGTAATTAGAGGTAAAAGACTATCGATTGCCAGGACGCAGCATGTTGCTTTTGTGCTTATCTGCTTTCATCAGATTCCGAATCTCCTACTTGGGTAGACAGCAGTGTTCATAACTTACACTACAGTAGAAACGACAGGTTTTCTTTCTCTGAATGCATAACAGTTTTTTTCTTTATTGATTTTTTTTTTTTTTTTTGTGGATGAGAAAAGACTTGATGATTGACCACCTAAATGTGGCTTAAACTGGCATGTGAAAAAGACCCATTAGTGGCTGGAGGACTCTAAAAATGTTCAGCATTTGGAACTCTTATTAAAAACCAATAAAATGAAAAAAAAAAAACTCAAATTATTAAGAAAGTGAATATCACTGTGTAATATTTATTCAACTTGTAATTTATGTACTCTTTTAACCTTTGTCTTTTTTTTTTGTTATGACAAAGCATTTATTTAAATAAAGTTATGTATTCATTTAAGCTTGTGCAATAAATTTATTTGTACATGACAGGAATTTGATCTCGTTTATGAGAACAATTTAAATAAAGTTTTATCACTAGCCATGGCGGTAACCACAGGATTTTTCCAGATGTCACACCATTATCACACACTGCATGCAAATATAAAGGCAACAAACACTGTGACATTTCAATAGCGCAATCTTGATATGATCATAACACTTACCAAGCACATACACTGCTGCTTATAAATCATCATGTTGGCATATGTTAATTTTCCAAGTGCTATATTTTTTACACTGATCGGTCTGCGCAGCGCCACTTCAAGACGAACACACCTATTGTCAATCTTCCATCATCAATGTCATCATGAGAATATAATGCCAGTAACTTTAGCATGATACATTTTCCACATTTTATAATAATATTGAAGTCATCAAAACTACAGCATAAATGGAAGTATGGGAATTATTTAGTAACCAAAATGTTAAACAAATCAAATTGAAATATCAGAGATATTTAGCTACACTCCACACTTCAGGTTATTTTAGCTTCATGAGATGCAGGACGTTTAAACATTATTAAAGGGGTTCACAAATATGCTGTACATTTGAATGAATGCATAACCAGATTATCATTCACCTAGAAATGTAGTTACAAAAAAAAAAATCATCTGAAAAATGATGATTTAGAGATTTTAACAGATGAAACAAACATGATTTCACTGATTAATTCATACGCTTAAAAAACACATTCTTAATATTTTTTCATTTAAACCCATGCTGGCCCAAATTACTTCGATGCTGAGTGCTATACTGTAATCATTAAAATAAAATTATATATATATATATATATATATATATATATACTGTATATAGTGTAGGGGTGTAACGATACCCTCATGCCACGATTCGATACATATCACGATACTGAACTCACGATACGATATTATTGCGATACTCCAAGACATATGGTAAAAGGTTAACAAAAAATGTACGGTTGATTAAAATCCTAAATTTGTTTTTTACATTGTGGGTGTAAATGAACAGGGTTGAACTTGGTGCTGGTAACCCAATGCACAGGACAATGGTGACACCATAATAAAAATATTGATGATTCTGAAGCTGAAAATACAGAATTATTTTAGACGAATATGCTAGCATTCTGTCACTGGCTAGATATATTTAAAATAATATATGACCTTTTTACTGGTAACAACATAAGACATTTGGCATTATCAGGACCCACAAATATTCCCCCATTG